AACAAAAAGTTAATAAAAGAGAGCTTGTTTGACAGTGTAACTAGAAAAGTGCTTTTAATTTATTAGTTATAAATACAACACAATTATTTGACTAGTTTTATTATATAAAATCTTTAAATTGAATGTCTAAATTAAAAATTGTCATGGAAATTTAAAATTTATTTATTTAAGACGTTAAATATCACATATTAATATATCAAACACCATGAAAAGTATGAAGCACCATAATTTTTTTTTATCATCTGAAATTTCATTTCTGAATACATTATGCACATTAACAAATGAAAATAATAAAAAAAATATTTAAATTATATACAATTTGATGCATAAAAAATTAGATATATTTAGTATATTCCTATTAATTAATAACTATATGTTTCAGCTAAATTTACAGCTTTAAAAAAAAAAAAAAGTTATGGATTGGAGCTTCTATACAACATCTTAAAAATAACTATTTTTTTAGTCAATAAATACTTTTGTTAACCATAACCAAACACCTACATTTTTATATAAAAGTTCTTTTGACCTCCCAAAATTCCTCTTAAACGTATACTAATGTCTAACTAGTTCGATGTTTCAAATTTACTAGGATTGGACAAAACACTTGAACCGAATGGCACTAAATCGAACCGAGCATTTCTTCTTAAATTAAATACTCGAATATGTATTTGAATCAAGAACCGATGGATGAGGTTCAGTTATCGATTCTAGATCTCGGTTCTATACCAAGAACCAAAGAACCGAATAAGTACAAAATCTCTCTAATTTTTTTTTTTATCAAAATCTCTAATTCTACTGTGCTATCATTTCTATCGTTCTATTATTGTGAACTAGCCATCTTTCTCTTCCTGTGATTAACAGTCAAATCTATGAAGAATTCAACAAAGAGAGGTGCAAAAGATATCACGAGATTGGACTACGTTATTTTGTAAAAGTTAAGATTGAATATGTTATAGTCGAATTAATGTAGCGTTGTTGTAATATAAAAAAAATTAATTATTGTACGGAATTCAGGAACAGAATAGAACCAAACCGAATCGAATGGAACCGAACCCGAACTATTCCATAATTAAATTTAGACCTGACGGTTCCATTTACTAAATACCCGAAAATTTCGGATTAGGTTCGGCTACTGAACCGAACCATGCCCACCCTTAAAATTCACTATCGCATTGTCTAATGTGGTGATAATCGATCAACAATAGTTTTGTACTTTTATGCACTTTTTTCTTATTTATGTTTGTTTTTTTACATCCATCCTACCTCTAGTAATTGGATCTTGTGCTACAGTTATGAAACTTTTGCAGCTTCTCTTCATTTATTATCTGATGTAGCCTCATAAATCCGAATCACATTACAATTCTAATTCGTGAAAAGAATAGATCCCTTTTCCCTAGCATTCCATGCGTATAATTTGGAACATTCAATTCAAACACTAGAAATGCTCTTCAAATATACAACAAAATACAAGTATAAAAACATGCGTGTGAATCCTAAATGCATGCATTTTAGGGCAATGAATGTATTATTCAACATTAAACCATCTCTAAGAAATTCTTTAAATACAATACGCTATTTATATTAAAGAGACAATAATTAAAATAAAAAGTGATTTAGCCTTCTAAAATTCACTCTCTATTTTTATTTTATAATGATTGCATTTAATAAATTATAGATTTCAATACTTTATTTCTTAAATTATTAAAATTTTATTTGAATTAATTGGTCATTGACATTTAAAAAAAAGTGTTAAATAAAAGGTAAAAAATAATAAATATTTCTAACAAATATATAATGAAGAACTAAATAGATAACACCGTTG